TGATTGGATTAAGCCAAATATTCATTCAGAGACACTGTAGCCATTGAGCTTGTGGAGAAGACTAGCATCTCAAACACTGTTGAATGCCATTGAGATATCTAGGGCCACAGCTCAAACTTCACCATTCTTATTAAATTCAGTAATGGCTGTTAACTTGTAGACTTGGAGAAACGGAAACCATATTGTTTATCCAAAGAGAGACTAAGTGAAGTAAGATGCTTAACCAATTTGGCTTTGGTTAGATCCTCTAGTACTTTGCCAAAAAGGGGTAAGTGGCTAATAGGGTGATAATTCGATGGTCAGAGTTCATAAAAACATGAACTACAGAAGAGAATTTCCAACAATCTGAATAGCAATATGTAGCAAAATATTTATTAATGGATTCTGACAACTTCAATGTTTAATGCAAACTTTGGGCCACCTTTTTTGCTCACAACAATTCATTCTGTCTTACATTTCTTCTTGTTTTCCTTTTTTTCATTAACTTCAACTGATAAAGGACATGATTTGGTCAATATTTGAATTAGAATGTTCATTTTGCTGATATTTATTAGCAATAGCCTAATGGCACAAGACAACAATTATTGAAATCCCAGTAAAGTTCCAATTCACTATACAGGAATAATGAACAGTTAAACTATTTTGCTAACCATTGCTTCTTGCAGAAGAATCATAGTAAATTAATTTATAGCAATTCTCTCTTTCATTCTTTTTCTCTCTGACATTAAATTTCTTTTATTCTTTCTGTATGAAAAACCATTTCCTGCTGCTCCTAACATCAAAAATAAAAGCAACATGAAAAGAGATTTTTATTAGCAAATGTTTTCTACCTTCAGCAATATATCACAGACTTTCTGCATACAATGCCAAAGTCAGAATTCTTTAACCTGAATAAATGAAATAATTCTCAAAGTTACATCTTGGACAAAAAGAAAGAAATTAACAACAAAGATGATGAAATAAAGAGCAAAGTAGACAATGATTGATTTGTGAAGAAAACAATGGATGTTAATGAATAAAATAATTGATCTCTGAGTGAGAAATTGGTTTTTGGTGAGAACTGGGGATGAGTGGATAGCTGTGTAGAGAAGTGATGAACCTTGTCTTAAATATTAGATAAATGGGTTTGGCTTTATATCTCCTGTTGACAATCATCCAACTCCTACTACCCTGTGTTCCATACCAGGACCCCCACTTATAACACCCACCTACCCCCTAAATCTCACCTTTACTGACAACTTTTGGTACTTGACATTTTTTTTAGAAAACATATTGCACACACACAATCAAACTCAATCAATTCCCAAAAACACTCATACACACATTTAATAACACACACATAATCAAATCCCACATATACACACACAATCAAATAGCACACATAATCAAATCACACGCAATCAAATTACACACACATTCTTGTAATTATGATCAAATAGCATACACATTCATTTTATATGAGAAAGATCTTAACTGTGGTACTCAGTGAAGTTAAAACTAATAATAAACAAAGCCAAAAGACAAGTACAATTACTTAGCATTTGTATTTTGAAACAAATATTTTCAATTATTATCAATACTTTTTCTTCCATCTTAACTTCAGTTGCCTTTTATCAAAAGCTGACATTCTACAACCTTTAGCAAGCAAAGCAGATTGGAAATAAATAAATTAAACCTCCAATAAAACTCTCCTCCCTTTTGCTTCAAGAGTCCTGTCTTATCATGGCAGATGCCTTACCACCTTACATTCAAATCTTCTTTTCTTTTTATATGCCATTTCTTTTCAGGACATAGGTACTCATGGCTCTCCATTTCCCTTGTAGCTGTCAATAAGTTCTGTCCCTCTACCACCTCCCCCAAACCACGTTCTATCATCCACTTGCTTAAGCTCACCAGGTATGTCATGCATTGCTTTCCCTTGTCTCTCTTTCCATCTATTCAACCTGTGAGTATCAGATTCTCCAGGCCCTCCTTTCTCATTACATGTCCCAGAAATTTCATCTGCCTCTTCCTGGTGTTAAGTATAAGCTTCCTCCTTGTTTGCATCCTCTCTAAAACCTTCATTGTTGCTCACACGCTCAGTCAATGATATCCTTAGCATCCTTCTGTAGAACCATATCTTCGTTGCTTAGAGTCTCTTCTTCATCTTTGAGACCGTCCAACATTCACTGCCATATAGGAGGACAGACGTAGCCATTCATTTCATATCTTCCCAAAATGTTCAATATATCTTTATTTACATATACTTGAAGTAATAGTTATAATATTGTTTTTTTTCATTTTAATTTCTAAGAGGAAGCATCACCAGTTATTATCAATTTTTGAGTAGAATTTCTTCCATCATAATTTCATTTGCTTTTTATTGCAAAAAAAAAAAAAATTTTAATCTTCAAATGTTCTCACTTCACAGTTACTTCAAAGATAACTACTGATTGCAAAATTACAATTCTGATTGCAAAATTACAATTCTGATTGCAAAATTACAATTTTCAGTTTTCTTTCTGCCCATTTTTCCTTATTCTCATTTCTTCATGATTTTGTTTTAGTGTGTACACATACATACACATAACTCCACATGCACACAGCTCTATACGGGCACATAAACAACAATTTATTTTATTTGATATGTTCATATATATATATATATATATATATATAATGGATAATGGCTTGGAATTGTTAATTAGAGAGCTGAGTTATAACTACAGTTGGGTTTCTTATGAGCAAATACCCTTTGAAAAGGTATGAATCCATCTCTTCTACCCCAGCTATGGGTTAATTAGTAATATTTGTATCACTTAATTATTATTATCAACAACAAAAAAATTCTTCCAATCTAAAAATATTTTCTGGCAATAAATAACTTGCAAAATGTTGATAATCCATAGAAGACAAATCAGTCACTCTTTATAATCTGTTAATTGCCATAACTGTTTTGCAGAAAGATAGTAGAGTGGTTACCTATTCTGACTATTCTTTCTCCTAGACTGGTTGCCAAACAAAGGTTGAAAGCTCAGTGTACTTAACAATTTATCCATAGCTGGCATAATGATATGGATTCATTTATTTTCTCAATGAATTTATGTGAAGTGAACACAGTGGCATTGGTTGAAATTTGAACTTAGCCTGCTGATTCCATTTTCTGTACCAGTAACAATTATGCCACCTGTATATCTTAGGTGAAACACTTAGACATATTAAGAAATTATTTTTTTAAAAGGGAGTTTTATTTTTGGAATAAAGTCCAGTATAAAATTTATTGGCTTATTCTGTGATGTTCCACTTGAACATTTAAACATGTTAAAAAAATCGATACAAAAAGTTTAAAATTTTTAATGAATTTCAGTGTAAAAAATGTGATTGATTTGCTAAAATATACACTGATATTTGAATTAGACATATAGACATGTTTAAAAAAAAAAGATTAAAAAATGTCTTATGTCTGTAAAAATAATTATATTTTTTTATTTCATGATCAAAGTGTAATATCTGTTCTTCATTATATTGAATTGTTAGTAAAAATATCATCTTCAATAAGCAAGCATTCATCTTTATGTAGCTACATTTGTTCTCTTTGTTAGTTTGGTTGCTTTATTTACTATTCTTTAATATTTTGTCTTTTACAATCTTTGAACCTTTAACAAAAAATGTCTGCTTTTGAGTGATAATTAAATCAGTCATGCAAGCTGTAGTTTGTTCCTTCAATTTTCATTAGATGTTCTATAAATCTAGCTTTTTGCAATAAAAATCAGACAAATATGTATTCTACTTTGTGACTGAAATCATTACTTATAATGTTTTGGTGACGGGTCAGTTTTCAAACTCAATGAAATGCTGTTTTTCTTGCTAAGTAGTTAAATGCAGATTGAAAAATTGTCATATCACAATATTAGGCCCATTTTTATCATCCCCCCCATTTTAATTGCTTCCCTTGTTGTATTAAAATGGACTCAGTAAACAGTGCATCTGACAAATAACTCTTGCCTTAATCTATAACAGATATAACAATATGTGATCTTCCATGTATCATTTAAGAAAAATCAAATCTTTCAAAAACATGGCCATTTAACAATCGGCAGTTAGTTAATGACACAACAGTCATGGTTAAGATTGGTGCATTTACATAGACGGGGGAAAAATGCAAACTCTTGATTTTGTTCAAAATGGAAATATAATCATGTTCTCAAGTTAAACTATTTTCCAATCATAGTTTTCCATCTTTTCACTATCTCTGCTAATGCAAGATTATGCACCAACATGAGATAGTTATCTCCAAAGAATACGAATTTTGAATAGCTGTATTTATTTCTCTCAGTACATTTTACACATTGATTTGTGGCTGCTGGTATCATTCCCTGATTGTTGTGGTCATATTAGCCCAGGGTTGCTAATCCACTCTCTTGATCACATGGTGAGGGTTCACAGGTGGCATCATCTTGTCTGGAAATCTTTGGTTTGAAAATTTTCATTTTAGTTTTTTAGCAGCCAAGTATTCCATGCTTGAATAAGGAGTATTCAGGAGACTTGTTGTCACTTAAGCTTCAGTGGAAACAACTAGTCTTTACTGCTGTGAACATTCAATAAGTGAATTACAATAATAGATAGGAACAGGATTTTGTGATATGTAAAATGACTTTCTTTCAAGTCAATGAAAACACAATTTGTGGTGTGACAGTTTAGCAAATGTCAATTATTCTATTTGAATAAACATTGAATTTATGTTTACAACACCAATTTTTGTAACAAAATTTTATTTCAGTGAAAAAAAAAATTTATAAATGGTTGGGGTAGATACTTAACAAATTTTTACTTTTGTTTTTTTTTTTTCTTTTGAGATTGTACAGTAAATACAGCAGTTCTTTTGTCACCTCTTATGAATTGGTAAACAATACAAAACACAAATATTTTATCAACTATCTCTCCAGTAAAATATGATGAGATCTACTTTTTCTCTTTGAGTCATAAAATCAGAACTTATCAATTAAACCTTCATTACTTACCCTTTGAAGAGGAACATTTCACTGGCAGCTCTTCTCAGATGTTGAATCTCAGACTGAAAAAAATATTAAAAAAATTAGAAAATATAATTAAAATCAAACACTACCAACATGGAGTAATATAAAGGTTAATATTCACACTGCAGGAATACAGAAAGCAGTTATCTCCATTTTCACAGGAAGAATGTACTAATATCTTAAGGGACCCTGGAGGGTCTTGAGATAGCCTGTTGGAGAGACTGTATTAGTAGTTTTGCTCAACAAAACAAATTGTTACAAAGCCAAAACCTGTTAGATCGAGACTTTCATATGGATGTCATGCATGGTGCCCAACTCATTCAGAAATATCTAAAATATCAGCTGTATTACAAATGCTTCCTAAGACCAATAGTTAAAAATGGCTTTGAGTGAGCAAAGCCTGAGAGTCTTGGCAAAGATCACCCCACTTTGAACATTGTGAGCTGGTGCTACAGAATCACAAACAAAAAAACTGTACCAAATAACAGAAACCATATCACTTGAGGACTATCAACAGCAGCAACAACTAAAATGGATAGCATATTATTGTAACCTAGAAAATATTACTGAATGAGGAATAACCAAAACGGAGTTTTGGAAATGAAAGGGTGATCTCTTTAACATCAACAAAATACAATATTCGCCAATGGCATAAAGTAGGTAAAGCACTGCTAGTGTTGGACTACATAGATAGCATATTACCTCCCACTTACAATAGTGTCCAACGTATTTATAAGGATTGGGACATACCCATTAGTGTTCATAGGTATAGTATATAACACATATGTAACTCCAAGAGAAAATAATAACAATCAAGATGTTGACGTTCCACACTACTTCAAATAAAAGGTTAGGAAGGAAACCCCTACCAATACTGGAAAGTGTGATAACAACTACTAGACTTGAGAAACCTCTTTTCCTGAATATTTTAAGAGAAAGGTTTTATAAATTTCAACCAAAAGCAGTGCTGGCTGTTTGATCAATGAATGCTAAATATTTCCTTTTAGGGGAATGGGTAACATTACCATTATACATTGATTCATTTGGATGTTTTTTTTTTCTTTCTTTCCTTGTATACCATTTTGGCCAATATATTCTCCAGCCTTCCTTAAGTATCTGTTATATTTGATAACCTTTCTGAAAAATCCTTTACTTTATCAGTGAGAGTATGCTCATCTTCTTCCTACACCTGTTACATGTAATGTCTATGTGAATCCTTAAAAATGAATTCAATTTCTGTTAAGCAATTCAGAACTATACACTAACTTTCAGAACAACAGATCAGCACCCACTATTTGGTTTTATGGCACTGCTAATTTGATACAACCATATTAGTATGGTTATTAGGGGTCAACTATTTTGGCACAGCTATTTTTGTGTAGTCATTTTGGCATAGTTACCTTTGGTATAGCCAATTTTGACACAGACCTCGTTCTGATAAAAAGACAAAATTTTGGCTTATATTTTAAGTCCATATGTTAATTTAATCTTTTTTATTTTTTTATAAAAATCAAATCCTTTTTTTTTAATAAAATAATTAAAAAAAGTTCTTGAAAGATTTATTGAAAAGTAAAAAAATATAGTAAATTAAAAATATTAATATAAAACATTGTAGTGTTGATAAATCAAAGAAAATGGAAAAACTCCAAGTGATGCATTTTATTCCCAGACTTCTTCAGACTAATGATGGTTTTATTGATGGAATTGGTCTTATGTATATTAGGGAAGAGGAGAAATACAACATTACAATTTTATATCAAAAACATTAAACCTGTATATTTATAATATTATAAATACATTTGTATGTACTGAAAAATAAAGTAAAAAAAATGTTCTAAATTTAGTACTTCTATAGTATATATAAAACCCATAAAACTTCTATAATATATATTTATATATATAGTATAGGAGGCAAGGTGGAGTAGGGGATAGCAGCTTGGATTGAAGAATCGGAGAGCCGAGTTCGAATTCCAGTCAAATAAATTACATTCACTTATGTGCTAATACCCTTGGGAAAGGTATTAATCCTCTTCTTTTCCCTCCAGCTATGAGTAAATAGCAGGTTCCATAGCCTTGGATGGTAAATGGTCTAAGAGAAGGACAACTCTGAATTCAAAATCTGCAGAGGGTTGTTTGGGGACCTTGTGGCATGTAGTGCACCAGGTCTCTGTATTTGGCCCTTCAAAAAGTATGGTTGATTCTACACAAAGCCTTCACCGCTATAATCAAATCATATGTGCTGGTTTCTGGCTGTCGGTTCCTAGGAACTCAGCTGCTTGACCCTCATACATTGAATATGACAAAAGAGTCCACCATATATAGTATATATATATATATTTTTATATATATAGCATATATAAATATATATTTTAAAACCTATTAAATCTATATAACTTATATTAAATATATAGCAGTCTATGGATTTGTTTAACAAAAGTGAAACACAGTATCTTTCATACATGTCAGGTTTTATTATGAAAATCAG